ACTTACTCGCGTGGCCTGATTTCTGAGCCAGGTAGGAATTTTAGCCATGGGAGGGCATAGTGGCTAGTTGACCTTGGTCTTCGGCTTCATCCGATTCGGTCACATCCCAACTCTACACGAACCACTAAGGCTATATATTAATTTGAAGAGTAGGAAGCCTTTTGCTAGGGGTTCTAAGGGTTCCTAACAGAGAAAGCCTAAATCATTTGTTTTAAACTGAGCACAAACTTTGTAGACGAAAAATTATAATCACTGCCTTAGGAACTTTGGTTTAAAACCAACATTAAATGGGCTTTTTTTAGAGAGCTTCTGTTTGAACTCCAAGAACATGATGAGTACAAGCGAGTGACATTTAGCTTTCAGCTATTCAAAATAATTCTTTCTTCCTGCATCAATTTCTCTCCTGACACCGATAATCTTCCGCTCTCAAAGTGAGTTGAACCCTGGTTTTATTTTCACCTAACACCTCCTAGATTCATCAGCGTCCTTCTCAAGTATGTGCATCAGAGTCATAAGGCACTCCTTACAGCTGTCTGGGAATGTTCTGGCCTTCTTGCTTCCAAACTCACTTCACTTTGCTTCACTTCCCAAAACAAAAGTGGAACCATTTTGCAAAGCCGAGGCTTGCACATCCTTCCTCTTTCCCATTTACCAACTGACCTTCACCATCTAGTAAATGAACTGTGGTCAAGTGTGGACGACTTGAACATCGCTCAACGACGAAAGCGACCATTGGAGAGTCCAATCACAAGCACAATTGAAGCGGCCTGTGCTGCCGCCTCTCGTTGGTCCGTGCTTGCTGTGCATCTAGCTAACACACTTCTTGGGATGGGGATTCCGGAAAGCATCGAACCTGTCGCTTTTTCACATTGTTTGCGAATTTTCGGCAAATTGATGGAGGATTTCAAGGAAGACAGTGTTAATCTTTCGCTTGAACAGACAACTAAAGTGGAAATACTTCAGAGCATGGCGAATTCAAACGTCTTGGACATGGCAAAGTGGGGGTGAGTCCAATTTTCATTTTTTAAAACTGTTCTAGACGTTAATCAGATTTTTAAATGAATTGTTTCGTGTAATTAGAACAGAAGCTGTGCTTTTCAATGGCACTACCTTAATGCTGCGGATGATCCAGTTTGCACTCTTTATATCTCAAGAAGATAAAGAAATCAGTGTTGAAATGGGTCAGTTTTTAATTCCCCGGCTGTTGCGAACATTGCTATCCACCCTCACGAGACCCAGTTCCACATCAAGCTCGCGCCGTGCCGCCTACAGGGCATTCGTTGAAGCACGGCAGACTGTCATTGGAGTAGGAAGCAGGGAAATAAAGGTAGGATGTATCATAGAAAACGCCGCCATTTCTTTAATTGGAATAAAGCCAAATAAAAGCGGACTTCACAAAATGCTATTGTTCAATCATTTTATGAATTCTTTTCATATTTTCCTCTGTGTCTGATATGTTCACACAACCATCTTCTCACTCATTAGGCAACGTCCGGTTCGACCAAACATTTCCGCTTATTCAGTTTTTTGATCTAACAATTCACATATCTCTAATCCATGTATACATGATACCTTCATTCATATACTTTTCATTCATACATTTATTAACCCATTTTCTGTCTTTCTCTCCATCGTCTTATTCATTGGTGCGAACACTCCAATACCGTTGATGGTGCTCAGTTTCGTTCGAAAATTTTCGCCTAACGTGTCAGAGTCTCTCCTATCCCAACGCTTAGACATTCTCAAAAGCAAGCCTTTGTAGGTGCGATGTAAGCCACGAGACCTTGTGTCGTCTTATGAGAATCGGCAATAACAGTAGATTGACTAAATAATTTTGACTGCTTTTAGAGCTCAGGCTCTCTCAGGCACTTTTGACTGCGCGCGCCAGTCTTCATTTGTGTAACTAGCTTTTCAACGATAACACCCTGACCAAACTAAAATAAATTGGAATAATAGCTATATGCAATCTCCTTTTCGCTCCCAGGAGGTTTGTAATTTGGGTTTGTCCTATGGACTCTGTGCGGAGGATGACCAACAACTTCGTCGTCAAGTATGGAAACACATTTCTCAATGCTGTCTCAATTCACCCCTTCCGGGTGGACCTACCTCTCTCTCCCACTGCCTTTCGGTTCTCCAGTTGATGAGCAGCGGCTGTCACGAGAACACAACTGAACAGCATATTGTGTCCACCACTCTGGAGGTGGTTTTGGAATCGGCTATCAAGTCAGCAGAATTTCGTCAACCTTTTCAACAGAATCCTCTTGATCCCGATTTGCCTTTCCAAGAAGCAAGGCAAGTTTTCTTTTTGTCTGACGCCTTGAATGCATTTAAGACGATAAAACACAGCTCAGATTAGCGATTTACTCGAAAAAGCTTTATGGTTGTTGTCATTTGTTTGTAAATGGTGGTGAGATCATACACAATCATTCCTTCTTCACAGACTGATTTTTTTGTAATTTTCAAGTTTTCTTTGCAGTGTATATCAGAGAAATGTAATTTGCAACACGGTACCGTAAGAGGTCCAAAATCCGTTTCTTCCAGCACGTCAAAAGGTATACCGAAAGGTATTAAGGTAGTAATTTTCGTGCGATAGGTTCCGAACGGGGAGGAAGCCTGGGAGGACGGTTACATAGTAGTTAAGAGGCATTGTTAGTCCTTTGGAATCCTTGGTTAACGAGAGGATGACCTTAGGTCAAAATTGTATCCAAGTAGAAGAGAAGGAAGATAATCGCAGACGCTCGAAGCGTTGTTAGTATATTTCGGGTTCTATTTCCACTAATTTTGTTTGCTGCCTAAATGTAAGTGTGCTCAGTAGAAGTTAAGATCCATACTGTTGCCGACGAAACGTCCTGCACAATAAGTGTTCACTGTATCGACGACTTTTATAACGTCCTTTTTTGGACTCTGGGTGCCCTCAAAGCAGATCTCTTTGATTTGCTTGTTCGTTGATCTTAACGAAATAGTGGTTTTGGTGGCAAAGCAAAAATGCATCACAAGCTCAAAACTGTTCCTGGGCAAACAGATATTCTAAGGACTTTGGAAGATTAGTTGTCACAAAGAGAATGAACTAACTCTGAAAATAGGTTTCTGCAAAAAAATGTAGGACTCTGTTTGCTTTTTTAGACTCTCCTGAGGCCTTCTTTGAAAATGGGACTCAAGTTTGTCCTTTCTCGGGCTATTTTATCATCATCATATGATTTTACAAAGCCTTACGGAAATTGTTTGGTTAGTAAAAAACATTCTCACTTTCACACCAGTTTCACGCGAACGTCCAGCTCAACCTCTCGCTTCTTGCTGGATCCAGTTGTGCTGAGTGGAACCCAACAATTGTTGCAAAGCCATACACAAGCTCTGGATGCTGGCTCTGCCACTCTTGTTCTTCTAGAAGGGGGCACTGTGAGGACCCAACTAACAGACACTCAGGAAATACCCTCTACTTCTGCGTTCACACAAATCAACCAGACATTCTCGGGTATGATCCCTCCTCAGAGGCTACCATTTGATCCTTCAAACGGCACTCATATCCATCGACGAAATAAGTTGCTGAGCTTTGAAAGTGTAAGTTTTCCATGAACGTAGACTGAGAGTAGAGAAGAATGTGGGACATACAAATTGATAGTGAAATTGAAGCTTACTCCACAAAAATTTTCAATGCGTTAATGTCA